TTTTTTGTACAAATAAAAAAAAATATATCTCCATGTTATTGATTATTACAAGCATAGACTATATAATTTGTGAAGCTTGAATTCTACATATTTTATATAAGAAATCAAATATGAAATATCTTTTATTTTTTTGTAAAATAACAAAATAATAATAAATTAATGAATTCTAAGTATCATTATTATATAGAAATAAAATATAAAAAATAAAGAAACATGTTCAGTTTTTCATTGCCCTTCACTTTCACTTTGGGTAATCGTGTATATGATACAACCGATTGTTTTTAGAAAGAAAGAATAGTTCATATTGCCGACACGTGCCAGACAGTCAGTTTGGCAAAGTCAGCACAAGCACACATGTCATTCCCTAAACATTTCACTGCCTTCATATACATCAGATCAAACAGAAGCACCTGAAAATCGACTCTAGATCGCCAAATCGGAAAACAATTGTTGCTCCGATATGATGGCTTCAAGCGATAAAGCTCCCGACGTGATGCCAGTGGGCGACGGATCGGTCCCTCCGGGAAAACCCATGACAGTGGGAGATAAAGTTGTCGACAAAAGTGCTGGGATGCTTCAAACATTGAAACCCATTAAACAAATTACCCAGCATGTGTGTACCTTCTCCGTCTACAGCCATGACATGAGTCGACAGATCGAGGCTCATCATTACATCACTCGTCTGAATCAAGATTTCCTTCAGTGTGCAGTTTATGATTCCGATGATCCTTCTGCTCGTCTTATCGGTATAAAATTCATGGTTGATTTTTTAATGTTCAATTCATGGAATGTTGGTTTGTTATTAAAGATGTGGTATATTTCCTTTCGAATAATTTTAGTGTGTGATATTTGTTTAGGGGTGGAATACATTGTTTCTGATCGAATCTTTGATACTTTGCCTACTGATGAACAAAAGCTGTGGCATTCCCATGATCATGAGGTTTTCTTAATTGTTTTCTTTCTTCAACAGACAAAAAGACATAAGCAAGATGATAAATACAATCATTTTGATAGCTTCGTATACTTTATGTCATTGTGTTAAATATTCTTGAAATAGAGAAGATGAATGTGTCTAGTAATTGAATATTCACTCGTGTCAAGGTTACATCAGGATTATGGGTAAATCCACGTGTTCCAGAGATGCTTCATAGGACCGAACTTGAAAACATTGCACATACTTATGGAAAGTTTTGGTGTACATGGCAAGTCGATAGAGGTAAGACTGATATATCTTTCTTTTTGTTGTTATATATCCTCAAACATATGTAGCGTTGTAACATATAACAAAGAAATGATCATATATAGGTATAGATGGTGATTCTTTTGTAAAGTGTAAACAATATTTTCGCTGATGTTGTTTGGTTTACAGGTGATAGGCTTCCACTTGGTGCACCAGCACTAATGATGTCGCCACAAGTAGTAAATATGGGGGTTGTACAACCGGAGCTAGTTCTTGTGAGGGACAACAAATACAAGATAAAAACTGATGAGCTTAGGAAAGCAAGGGCAGATATTCCAGTATCCAAACCTGGGAATGCAAGAGCCTCGGATTTCTGGATGCAGAATGGAAAGGGTTACGCAATTGACATAGAACCTACAGAGATGAAAAGGTTGGAAGGGCCGAAGTTCCCATGAATGTTGGTTTTATTTTTGTATTGATTTAATTAGAACAAGTTGATGATGTTATGCCATGCTTTGCTTTTACTTTATATTTCTGCTCTTGGCTCAGACGATTAGAGGTTAAAGCAGTGTTTCCATTTCACTTGGATAAATTTTGTTAGTACTTTACGTTTTGCTTTACCTTTTATATGGAAAGTAAGGATGATTTACATGAATCTTATCGTCTAGTTGCCACTCTAGAGAAACGATGTTGATCGTTTAGTTGGCACTCTAGAGAAACGATGTTGGAATTTATAGGATCAAATGTATGCTAAATATTGAAGATAAATTGAGTACTTAAAAATAAATGGTATTTGGCTCTAGCTATAAAACTAAAAATAATAAAGGAATTAGGAATGCTATAAGTTTATACTCTTCACTAAATGAAAGAAACGATTATAACTTGATTTTTTGCAAAGCTTGGAAACTATTTCTATTTATACCCTAACATTCAACTTGAATTCCTACAAAGCTTGGAATCTATTCCTATTTATACCCTAACATTGTTATTATTAAAATCCTAAAGATTTACAACCAAACATCTTATACATCTTCGCAAAATATTTATACCCTAACATTGTTATTATTAAAATCCTAAGATTTACAACCAAACATCTTATACATCTTCGCAAAATAGACAAAGTTGTCATGTCGTGTCCTCTCCAACTGAGGTCTTCTCGCCCGCTCTGGGAAGATTAGATCCCAACGAGCCAAACACACTATAATTAAATATATAACTATTATTAAATACAAATAAATCTACCTAAATATATATATATATATATATATATATATATATATATATATATATATAACTATTATTAAATACAAATAAATCTAGACAAATCTTCAGTAAACAACCATTACTAAATACCTAAATATACAATTGTTATTAAATACAAATAAATCTATACAATTCTTAAGTAAACAACCATTCTTAAAAGTTTGTTTAACTAATATAAAAAGAATTATATTTTCTTTAATAGTTTTTAACTAGCTTATTAATTTCAATTGGTTTTTTTTAACGTAACAGTTAGTTTTTAAACTAAACTAGAGTTTGGACCGTCCACACGATGATGCGGAAGCCCCAATATGTTCAAAAATGCAGTTCGACACTATACATACTACGGATACGATTAAACCAGATAAAATGGAACACAAAAATTCAAAATAAAATTTGGATACCAATAATTATATACGGAGGGGTGAACAAAAATAAGACTTGAAAGTGTATCCTAAATAAATTGATAAAAAAAAAAAAGATTATTAAAAAAATTATGTAATGGATCAAAGTGTAATTTTACAATATAATAGAGGATCAAATCGTAATGTATAAAATACCAATAATCTAACTTTAAAATTATAAGGAATGAAATAAAGATTAATTGAGGGGACAAAGTGTAAATATAAAAATCCTCTATGATCGGAACCTAAATGAGTATTTTTATAAAACTGTTGTTTTACATTCAATAACTTTATAAAACTGTTGTTTTACATTCAATAATCCATGCTTGACAATATATAACATGATTTGATTTTAGTAAACTTGGATTTAAAAATAGAATATATATATATATATATATATATATATATATATATATATATATATATATATATATATATATATAGAGAGAGAGAGAGAGAGAGAGAGATAGTCAAGATCAAATAAGAAGGAAAATTTTGGTAGGAAGTTAAGAAGTTTTTTTTCTATATATTTTTTTAGCGAACATACAAAATGAATCATTAGATGATTCACAAGAAAAAAATTCCCAAAAAAACATCTTCATGATTTATTTTTAAGTAAATTATGAAAAAAATTCACTTTTATGACAATTTTATGACAATTTTAGTGAATAATAACGAAATCATTATATAAATGAATCATCGGTGTGTTTTTTTGAGATTTTTTTTGGTGAATCATATTATTTTTGATTCATCTAATGATTCATTTCCTTTGTTCGTCAAAAAAGTATGTAAAAAAAAAACTTCTTACCTTCCTACCAAAAAAAATTTCTTACCGGATATATATATATATATATATATATATATATATATATATATATATATATATATATATATATATACACACACACACACTAACTTATAATCCTCAAACTAAACCCTTAAAAAAAACCAAACATAGACGTTTTGTCAGAAATTGTGGAGTTACTCAATAGAGTCCAACAGATCATGCATAGTAATGTTATGATTCTAAAATCTATAAATATTTTACCATCCAAAAAAGAATTGTAACACAACTTATTGTTCGTTACCCGTTATATCCATATAAATTTTTTTTCTTCATTCATCACATGAAAAGTTTCATTTAAACATAGAAACTCATGAAAAGTTTCATCTTAAACATAGAAAGTCTTGAAAACATCTAAAATGTGTTTTGTACCATAAACTACCTACAAGTTTTTAAAGTTATGTTTCGCGTATTAACTTTAGCTAAAAAGCTAGCTGTTAAATAAAATATTAGCTGATTACTGAAAAGTTAACTGATAAAAAATAATATTTGATAAACTGGTGGAAAAACTAGCTAAAAAAGTAGCTGAAAATGTGAAATGACATGTAAAAGAATGTGTTTTTATTATTAGTTAAGGGGTATACTTAAAAAAAAATTAAAAACTTCTAAAAAGTTAGTTTTAGTAGTTTTTTAAAAAGTTGGCTTATAAACTACTTTTTTTGCTTGCGATGACAACTTAAAAAAAAACTCGAAAAATAAAATAAACTAGCTAACTGTGTGTTTCAACAGTCTAAGATTATATTTAACGTACTAGCTAAAAACTAAAAATAGCTAAAAACTAAAAAATTAACTGTTAGCTAAAAACTAAATTTTAGTTGAAAAATATAAATGATATGAAATGATATTTAAAAAAAATATGTTTTATAATTAATTAAAAAAAATATGTTTTATAATTAATTAAAAGGTATATTTAAAAAAATTTTAAAAACTTCTAAAATGCTAATCTAAATAGACTTTTAAGAAAGTTTTTTCAAAAAAGCTAGTCTATAATAACAACCTAAAATATGTTGAAAAATAACCAAACGCAGCCTAAGCTCGATAACTTTTATAAAAGCTCGAATAATATTTTCAGCTAGCTGTGTGCGTGAAATACAGATTAATAACATTTTAACTAGTTTATAAGTTAACTTTTTTGCTTGCCCAAAAAAAATAAGCTAACTCCGCTCCACGTACAAGAAATCATTCCACATACAAGTTAATTTTATTCAAATTTATTGCGTCTGAAATTCCTTTCACTATATAGGGACAATCCCACATACAGCGACTCGTTCCAGAACTTCATATATACACATCATATATACAATACTACAACTTAAAACTTAACCGTTGGCAACTTCTTCATCTCTGCACTTTCGACATCAATAGCAAAACACTTCTTATGCTCTCTCCAGTAATCTGCCATGGGATTCAACCTCGCTTGCCTCATGATATCAGTTCTCGAACCCCGAATAGCAGCAGTCGATATGTTGTACTTATCATCTCTCTTTTCCACCAACTCCGGCTTAACCTTGGCAATCTCCTCCTCCTGTGGTGACATCATTAGCGACGGTGGCCCAATCGGCAGCTTATCACCTTCAAATCAACCATCCATACTTCAATACAACAAAAAAAAAAACACTTGAAATTCTCGAGAATGTTTCATAGTTATTAACTTCACCTCTGTCGGTTTGCCAAGTGCACCAAAACTTTCCATAGGTTTTGGCCATGTTTTCGAGCTCCGGTTTGGCGACCATTTCCGGGATCCGTGGGTGCACTAGTAGCCCTGATTGTATCTTCATATTTCATATAACAAGAAAAGAAAAAAAAAACAATCTTTACTTTGTTAGAATAGATCGACATGATCATGATCATTAAATATTGATCACATACCTCATAAGCATGAGAGTGCCATAGTTTCTGTTCATCAGGTGGCAAAGTATCAAAAATACGATCAGAGACTATGTATTCCACCCCTATGAGTCTGCCGGAGGTGTCGTCGGTGTCATAAACGGCACACTGGAGGAAATCCTGGTTGATTCGTGTGATGTAATGGTGAGTCTCGATCTGTCGAGACATGTCGTGGCTGTATAAAGCAAAAGTGCATGCATGTTGACTCATCTGCTTTATGGGTTTCAACGACTGCAGCATCTTAGCTCCTTTGTCCAACATATGTGTCCCTATTGACATTGGTTTTCCCGGCGGGATGCCGTTCTTCTCGACGCCGGCACCGTCTGTTGGTTGAGTGTAAGCCATGGAGGATCGAGGAAGAGGGTAACTATATTGCGTTTTGTTGAAGGTGTATGAGAATATGAGGTTGAGACGATGATCATGGTGGGTTTAATAAGGAGTATGAGGTGGAGGGGGGCGTGAGGTGAGGTGGCGAGTGAGATTGGAAGGTGGAGGGTGAGTGACAGGTGGTGGTGGTCTTGGGACACTTGTAGATTGTAATGGTGTGCATGTGGTGTTTTCCTAGACGTTTGAATTTGCATAATCATCTGGCTGGTCCAAGTCAACGTTTCTATTTATAGTAATTGATACCTTTTATTTGATATGTGTAGAAAGATTTTTTTTCTTCTATGGTAAATTAATTCAAATAGTAGCAAGATACGTAGAAATTATAAAGTATTGATAGTTATATCTGGATTTTTAATCTATCTACCAAACAATACCAAACAAAAACACATTATGATTATAAAAAAACACATCGTCGTTTTATAATATATTTATTAATTTTATATCAAATTAAAATTAAAAGGTAAAATAAAAAAGAAATGAAATTGAATTATTTTGTTTATATATAGTTAACTTTTTTTTATACATGTCTAGGTAAAGAATTTGTTGGAAATATTTACATATAACCATTATGACCGACTGTAACTTGTTACATGTAACTTGCTACAGTTAGTTATAATGTTATATGTGAACACTTCAACGGTACCTAAATATATACAAAAAAAAATTACTTAAATGTGAACAAAACAAAAAAAATGATCTTGATAAGTCATATATCCTTATATAAATAGTTACCGGTGGATATAAACACACTAAATTTACATAAATGACCCATATAGCACTAAATTTAAAGTAAATTTATAGAAACAAAAGCCACAAAAACAAATATAAACACACATGTACATAGGGATGAGCAAAAGGACCGAACCGGCCGGAACCGGACTTGACCCAGAAACCGACTTCGGCCAAATTCAAGAACCGAACCGGCCCTGCGGTTCTACCGGTTTCCGGTTCTTGTCGTGTTTTCAAATGTTGGAACCGGTCTTCGAAAAATAGCATCATACGGTTCCGGTTTTTGTTGGTTCTATCGGTTCCGGTTATATCAGTTCCGATTCCTACCGGTTTCCGGTTCCAAAAATCAATAAAAATAACGTTCCAGTCCCAGCCCGACCGGTTCCATTGGGTTCTAGTTCCGGTACCGTTTCCGGCCAGTTTCCCGGTCCATATGTTTATCCCTACATGTACATATAAATGTGTGAAAAGAACTTTTTTATTTCACTGAGAATGAAATAGGTACATATACACAGAGATCCGAATGTATTGGATCTGTTACAACAAATGTGGAAGACTAGTTCTATAGTTATCTAGAAAATCAAAAGGTAATTAACATGTGTACAATATACATGAAAGATAAACGGGTTCGGATCCGGGTTATGTGTTTATATGCTCCCGCAAGATGGACGATCGTGAGAGGAAACCAATCTTGGAGGTAAGAGTGTTGAATCTGTGGCGGAGAAGGGGTTTAGTGAGTGCATCAGCTAGCTGATCGTCCCCATGGATGTGAGTTACACGAATAGACCCTTCCTGTACTTTTTCCCGGACAAAGTGAAAGTCAAGTGCTAAATGTTTCATTCGTGAATGAAAAACAGGGTTGGCCGAGTAGTGTGTAGCACTGAGATTATCACAGAAAATGGTTGGTGTAGTGTGAGATTTGTAACCGAGTTCAGATAATAAGGAGATAACCCATTGCATTTCAGTAGTGGTGGAGGCAACTGCCCTGAATTCAGCTTCAGTGGATGAGCGGGCTAGAGTTGGTTGGCGTTTAGAACTCTAAGCTATTGGATTAGACCCAAGGTAGACTATGTAACCCGAAGTGCTGCGATAAGTTTGCTTGTCACCTGCCCAGTCGGCATCGGTGAAGGCATGGAGTTGTAGTGGGGACTTGCGTTGTATGAGAAGACCATGATGCATTGTGCCATGAAGATAACGTAGTAAGCGTTTGAGGGCTGTCCAGTGCATGTCGGTTGGGCGTTGCATGAATTGTGAGAGCTTGTTGACAGCAAAATCGATGTCGGGTCTTGTAAGGGACAAGTATTGAAGAGCTCCAACATGTGACCTGTAATCTATAACATTAGAAATAGATGTACCATCATCAATAGTCAAAGGTTGAGAGCTGGACATTGGTGTGGTTGATGCCTTACAATCAGTCATATTAGCTTTGTGAAGAAGATCAAGAATATATTTGGTTTGGGAAAGAAAAAGGCTATGAGGATGATGAACAACTTCGACTCCAAGAAAGTAACAAAGAGTACCTAGATCTTTTAGGGAAAATCGTTTAGCAAGTGAATTTATGAAAGCTGAAACATGAGAAGTGTTTGGACCTGTAATTATAATATCGTCTACATAAACGAGGATGTAGATGGGAGAGGTTTGTGAATGATAAACAAACAATGAGGAATCAGAGATTGTGGGTTTAAAGTTGGAATATAATAAGAAGGATTTGAGTTCATTGTACCAGGAACGAGAGGCTTGGCGGAGACCGTAAATGGCTTTGTTTAGTTTACAAACATGATCTGGGAAGGTGGAGTCAATGAAGCCCGGGGGCTGGGTCATGTAGACAGACTCTGTGAGATGTCCTTGCAAGAATGCATTGTTGACATCTAACTGGCGCAAGCACCAGTTTTGAGAAGTGGCTAATGAGAGAATGAGTCTAAGAGAGGCAGGTTTAAGAACCGGACTGAAGGTTTCAACATAATCAAGTCCAGGTCTTTGATGAAAACCTTTTGCTACGAGGCGTGCTTTTAATCGATCAAGAGAACCATCAGGATGGTATTTACTACGATAGACCCATTTGCACCCAATGACATTTGGGGCTGAATCACGAGGAACCAATGTCCATGTGTTGTTGTGTATGAGAGCATCATACTCATTCTGCATAGCTTTACGCCATGAAGGTTGTTTCAAGGCTTGAGAAATGGTATGAGGTTCTGGAAAAGATGAGGGAGTAGCATGGTAAAGAAGAAAGTCAGCATTATGGTATTTTGGGTTGGGTTTGGGATTTTTGCGAGTGATTATTTTGTGAGGGTTGAGATGGGAAGTAGGTGCGGAAGTGGTAGTGGGTTGATTTGGAGTAGGGTGTGAGTTGGAAGACTCGTTTGAGTCAACAGATAAGGATGGGGACGGGTGAGAGGTGGATGGAGAGGATTGAGGTGAAGTGGATGTTGAGGGAGGTGGAGATGGGTCTGGAGAGGAGGGAGGAGATGGTGGTGGTGTAATATGAGGTGGTGAAGTTGGGGAAGGTGAAAGAGGAAGTAATTGAAGGTGGAGCCAAGTGTCTGGTTCAGGGATAGATGGTGGAGGTGTATTTGTGAGTCTGGTGTACGGGAAATCAGTTTCAACAAAATAAACATGGCGTGATGTGTATATTCTGTTGGTTAGAGGATCTAGAAGGTGATATGCACTTTGTGAAGATGAATAACTAACAAAGATGCATGGTTTAGAGCGAGATTCAAGTTTGTGGTGTGTATAAGGACGTAACCATGGGTAAGCAAGGCAGCCGAAACTTCTGAGTTTCTCATAGTTGGGAGTTTTATGAAAAAGCTGGAAATATGGGGAGGTGTTATTAAGAGTGTTTGTGGGTAACCTGTTGATTAAATAGGTAGCGGTGGTAACAGCAAAAGTCCAGAATTGTAAGGGCATTTGTGCATGAGATAGTAGGGATAAAGCAGTTTCAACAATGTGGCGATGTCTTCTTTCAGCGTACCCATTGTGTTCAGGAGTGTGGGGAGGGGAGGTGAGGTGTGAGATACCGCATGATGCAAAATGAGAAGATAGCTTGATGTATTCACCTCCATTGTCGGAAAAGAACTGTTGAATTTTGACCTGAAAGAAATTTTCAACAAGTTTTTGAAATTTTATGAATGTGGTTAAAGAATCAGATTTGTGTTTCAATGGGTACAGCCATGTATACTTTGTAAAATGATCGACAAAAATGATATAATATTTGTGATTATCTATTGAATGAATTGGGGAGGTCCAAACATCTGAAAAGATGAGTTCAAGTGGACGTGATGAAGTAAGAGAAGTATGATGAAATGGAAGTTTGTGACTTTTATTAATGCAACAAGAATTACAATTGTTTTTCAAGGAAATAATTGCAGGAATAGAAGAAGCTAAGTGGTCTAAAACTCTAATATGTGGATGTCCAAGCCTGTGATGCCAAGGGATGGATTTATTGGAGAGAAAAGCCAAATGTGGATGAGTGGAACGCAACTCATAGATTCCTTGACTAGCCATTCCGTGGAGTAGCATCTGATGTGTTTTGAGATCCTTGATAAAAAATAGAATGAATAGAATTGGATTAGTATATGATTATCAATGCATAAACGAGATATGGAGATGATATTTTTGGAGATAGAAGGAACACAGAGGACATTAGTTAATTTGAAAGATGTATTGGAAAACTTAAGATAAAGAGAGCCAATATGAGAGATTGTGAGAGACGAACCATCACCAATAACCAGCTCATCAGTACCGTCGTAAGGTGTGTGGAGAGACAATGCACTGAGGTCATTAGTCACATGATGAGAGGCTCCACTATCAAATAACCAAGATGGATTGTTGTTGGGAGTATAGGGAACAGGGGCTTGAGCCAAGTTGACAGTGTATGTGTTGCGAGATATTGATGGCAAGGCAATCTGAGGATACTTATTCTTGAATGAATAACAGGAGGATAAGGAGTGACCTTGAGCAAAGCAGAACTGACATTTTCCAAGAAATGGGCGTGGTGAGTTATTTGTTTTGTGTGGAGCTGATGTAGGGGTAGGTAAGAGGGGAGTGTTTGTGGCTGTTTGTCGGTTGTTCCAGGATCTGGTAGGGGGTCGTTTGTTGGCAACAAAGGCAGTGGTAGGTTGGTGAATAGAGGTAGGAACTGAGGGTGTCTGAATGAGAGAGAGTTCATGATTTATTAGTTTTTCATGAAGTTCAGAGAAGGAAATGGGGGTATCACGGGCATGAATAGCTTCAATAACGGGTTTGTAGGCTGTGGAGTCTAAACCTGTGAGGATGGCATCGGTAATGTCTTCTTGATCCATTTTCTTGCCTAATATGCTTAATTCATCAACAATGGTTTTGATGGTTTGCATATAATCAGTGATGGATAAAGAAGATGTTTTGGTAGTTTGTTTGAGTCGGTGCTGTAGCTGCTTGATGTGGCCTCTAGAAGGCTTAGCATAGGTATTGGATAAGATTTTCCAAGCTTCAAGAGATGAGGTCGCACCTGTGATCAAAGGAACAATGGCGGGGGAAAGGGTACCAACGATGGCGCCAAAAAGAAGGCGGTCTTGGCGGAACCAAGCTGGGTAATCAGCGTGAGGGGTGGATACACCTTCTTCGTTGATAGTAGGTGACGGAGGGAGATGGGTACCGTCAATGAATTTGTAGAGGTCCAATCCGTAAAGTAGAGCTTCAATTTGGGTTTTCCAGCTCATGTAATTTGTGGAGGTTAATTTCAGCGAAGAAGGGAATTGGACTAGGGTGAGGGAATTTGTGGAGAGGGGAAGAGAATTGACGACATAAGAGGAGGAATTTGATTCAGTCGCCATGAAATCGGTAGTGGGAGAAGGTGATTTTTAGAGAGAGAAAGGAGACCTGGCTGATACCATATAAATGTGTGAAAAGAACTTTTTTTATTTCACTGAGAATGAAATAGGTACATATACACAGAGATCCGAATGTATTGGATCTGTTACAACAAATGTGGAAGACTAGTTCTATAGTTATCTAGAAAATCAAAAGGTAATTAACATGTGTACAATATACATGAAAGATAAACGGGTTCGGATCCGGGTTATGTGTTTATAGTACACATACAAGCACAAATATATTGAGAAAAATACATTGAAAGATGATCGATTCTCGATTATAGAATTGTATTTTGAAAGTACATTGTTATAATTGAGATCCTTGTTTATCATGCACTTTCAAAAAGAATTTTGATGCTTGTTTTGCTTACTATTCAAACCAACACAAGACAATCAAATGCCGAATTCAGTTGTAACATTGTACTTAGAGATTTCATTGCTATAATTAGGAAAAAGCTCATTTATTTTTATCGAAAAAGCAAGAAAAACACAAATAAACACACTCATACATAGAAAACCAGGCACATATTTCTAAATTATATTGATAGATGATGGATACCCAATTATACTTTGAAAGAAAATGGCAATAATTATGATTAATCACACTAAATTTACATAAATGATCTCTATAACAGTAAATTTTAAGTAAAATGATTGTTGCAATGTAAGTTTGTACACACAAAGAACAACAAAAATGGGAGTTGATTGCTATTATATTTGGCTTATTTTATTTTTTTCCATGTTTACATAAAAGAACAATATAAGCACTCATTATCTTTTACATATTTCCCCTATTTTATTTTTTCCCTAAAAAAACATAAAGATTACAAATGAGGCTTCCCGCATTGAATTCTAACCTTTTACATATTTGCTGTAACTAATTTTTTACTATAATTTTCTTGATTTCTCAATGCCACTGCAATTTGAAATGATTTTATCATCAGGGACTTAAAATGAATGTGGGCTAATACTTTTAGACCAAAGTCAACATCCCCAAAACTTATAGAAGACTTAATTCTTAAACACTTTTAACAACTCATTAATCAATTATTTCCGAATTCAAACCCTAAAACTGAATCAATTATAAGAAATGCATAAAAATGGCATCTTCTTCCCGATTCCCAATCACAGACTTTCGCATGAATGTTCATCTCTCCGAGATTTCGCCGTATTCTGATTAGGTTTCTCTCTCTGCTCGGAATCCTAGGTTTGACTCTCTTCTTCATTTCGATTTCCATGGATGTACAAGTCGGTGAAGCAGCACAGCAGCCCAAGAAGGATGTTTATTCGGTATGGGCGCTTCCGCCGCAAGATGTGACGGAGAGGCTGAAGAAACTGATGATCGGTCTGCGATCGGAGTTCGGAGGACCTGAGTTTGAGCCGCATGTGACTGTTGTCGGAGCTATCAGCTTGACGGAGGAGGAGGCGCGTGACAAACTCAAGAAGGCTTGTGACGGTTTGAAAGCCTATAATGCCACCGTTGAGAAGGTTGCGACGGGAACTTTCTTCTATCAGTGTGTGTTTTTGTTGCTTCATCCCACGACTGAGGTAATTTCGAATCGGATTCATATACGACTTTTAGGTTCAAATGAATTGTTCCAGATTTGAAATTTTCATTGATATGATAATGTAATCCAATAAGTGAATCCATCATAACAATTGTTATGCTCAAAAGATTACAGATCTAATCTGAAATCTGAAAGTCTTAACCTTCACTTCTCAGAAGTCAAACAATACAGTGAATCCACCATAACAATTGTTTCAGTTTCATACTTTCATATCCATTTCCCCGAACATATTTATGTTACGAGCTTCATTATTTCAGGTCATGGAAACCGGTGCACACTGCTGGAATCATTTTGGCTACAAGAGTTCAACTCGTATAATCCTCTTCCATCTTTAAGTTAATTAGTTTTTTTTTATTCAGACACTTTCCTCTTTCGCTGATGAACAATTATTCTTGTTACATTTACAGCTTATATGCCACATTTGAGCATCCTTTATGCTGATTTAACCGAAGAAGAAAAGAAAAGAGCTCAAGAGAAAGCCAATGCTCTTGATGAAACTGTTCAAAGCTTGAAGTTCCCAATATCACGTCTTGCTTTGTACAAAACAGACACAGAAGACAAAACCTTAAAATCATGGGAGAAGGTGACTGAAATCACTCTCCAATGAACCTCTTAACTTTTTCCTCTTTAATAATCATTTCAAATCACAATTCCACAAAGTTTGTAATTTGTATATTTGTACCATTACTCTGAATAATTTCCACTTTCTTGTTTCCTTATATAGTCATTTTTTCTAAAAAAAAAACCCAAATATAGCAATGTCATCCAAATACAAAGCAATTTTCACTTGTACAAATGAGTAGAATTTTCAAAATATAATGTAAAAAAAAGGTACAATGCTATAAATATATTTTTCAAAGTACAATGCCTTAATAAAAAAAAAGTTGAAAGCACAATGAAAATAAGAATCTATATAAAAAAAAGAAAGACGAAAGTATGGTTTTTATTTATTGCATTTAACCACAATTTAAAGTTAACAAAATGCATAACTTATTCGAAGTCAAACTATCGCTAATACAAAAGTATATATAGAAGCCATGTATACGTTACAATACGTGACATCATTATTAGCCGATTTAAAACAGCAAAAAGAGAACATAAAAACATATTTGAGTAAATAGATGAGGTACACCTGTATTAATATTGAATACTACATCCAAATAGCATTAGCATCAATGAGTAGTGGTTTAAGCTTGCTTTCCAAATTGAGACTATAAATCTCATTAGCACCTCCAACAAGCTTCTTCCCTATGAACACAGCTGGCACACTAGGGTTGCAACCTAACTCCATTAACTCTTCTTCAATTCCATCGCCATTAGAAAGCTCATCAAGCTCATAAATAATAGGATTTGCTCCAAATTTTCTTATGAGTGATATGATCGAGTGGCTTATACAACATGTTGTTTTGCTAAAAATCACAGCTGGATTCTCAGATAACAGAGCCCTCACTGTGGTCATTTTTTATAAAGATTTGGTTTTGGGGATTTGGGTTGGTTAAAATTTGAGACATCTTGACGTTTATTTATAGGGTTTTTTTTTTTTTTTTTTTTTTTTTTTTTTTTTTGTAATGATGGAATATGTTCTTCGGAATGAAATTAATTTTGCAAACTTGTCTCATGTAACATCCCATCAAAAGTTTGAATATTTGAATAGTGCTATGCATATTGTGAGTATGCTATGGGTTTGACTTTAGAAAATCAGAAGATATTGATAGAGTATATGGAAATGAGCGTTTGGTACAAGTGTATATTGCATAGAGATATGCGGTTGCTTTATAGTTTTGTGATGAGGATATGATTCTTGAGATGATATTGTTAAAGAATGACTTCTAGGTAGATGATGTTGGTGTTCTTAGCTTATGGATATCAACAATATTTCATGATTTTTCACACGTATCCATAATCACTCTTTCTTAAGATAATTCGGTTTGTTTTTTATTTACGATGTGACATAAAATGAATATTTTGGATCGTGATTAAGATTGAGACTCGTGTCAATAAAGTTTGCAGCTTTTTTTGTCAATGAAATGAAAATTGTAACTTGTTGTCTTGTTCAAAAACATGGAACGGCATTTTGTTTATGTAAAACACATGAATGTCCTTATCCTTATAAAAATAATTTGTTTGTTTAGTCTGGTTATGGAGACATTGTAAGTTACATTCTTTGTGTTGGCAATTTGACCGATTAAATGGGGTGGGGTGGGCTATACATTTTTTGGTTGTCATATGGTGGAGAGCTACAATGATGCAAAACATAAGTAAGAACAAGAAATGTTCAAAGAATCCCAAAGGAAAGAAAATAATTTTTTTTTATTAATTTCCAAGATACTTCATAAAACTTTCAAGTACCGTGTATATAACATGTTTGCCAAATTTATGTAAAATTGACATTAACTCCTTGTAATTAACATTCTAAATACGCATAGAAATATCAGAATTTATGGAGATAAAACATCCTGGCATAGAAACAAAATAAAATAGAAATAGAAAATAAGGTGAAAGCACCTCAAATTAAAATTGGGGTCTAAACGTTGCATTTTGGCAATAACGCGTAGGCCTTCGGTTGTTTGTCAGGAGCTCTAAAGAGCTTTGTGGGGACTCCAAATTCCCAATAGATCATCAGTCATGCATGTTTTATGTTAGGTTTCTTCGTTGTGATGGTTTATTTTATGATGTTTTCACTTGTCCATAAATACTTTTGCAATATCTCAATAGATCCTAAAATTTGATACATGACTGACATCATACAAACATGATACGAATTTTCCATGTACAAGAATTCTAAATTTGTGTTTCATGTTTTACATATGTCAAACATGAATTTATATGTTTAAACACGTATAAGACACAAATTTAATTTGTATGACATGCGACACGTGTAAACATGTATATATATGTGACACACGACATGTCTACATTTTTTAGTTGCACCATGGTGGATAGCTATAATGACATCAAAACATAAGTAAGAATAAGAAATGTTCAAAGAATCGCAAAGTAAAGAAATAATTTTTTTTTATTAATTTCCAAGGTACTTCAAGAACCTTGTATATAGCAGGTATTGCCAAATTTATAAAATTAAAATTGACATCAATTCCTTATAATTAACATTCTAAATAAATATAGAAATATCAGAACTTATGGAGATAAATATCCTGACATAGAAACAAAATAAAATAAAAATAGAAAAACAAGGTGAAAGTATGTAAAATTAAAATTGGGATCTAAACGCTGCATTTTAGCAATAACATGTAGACATTTGATTAGGGATGAGCAAAAGGACCGAACCGGCCGGAACTGGCTCGAACCGGACCGGAACCGGGAACCGGCTTCGGCCAAAATCAAGAACCGAACCGGACCGGCGGTTCTATCGGTTCCGGTTCTACCGGTTCCCGGTTCCTACCGGTTCTTGTTGTGTCTTCAAATGTTGGAACCGGTCCTTGAAAAATAGCATCATACGGTTCCGGTTTTTGCCGGTTTTACCGGTTTCGGTTATATCGGTTCCGGTTCCTACCGGTTCCCGGTTCCAAAAATCCACAAAAATAACGTCCCGGTCCCGGCCCGACCGGTTCCATCGGGTTCCGGTTCCGGTACCGGTTCCGGCCGGTTCCCCGATCCATTTGCTCATCCCTACATTTGATTGTTTGTCAGGAGCTCTCTGAAGAGCTTTTGGCGTATAAAGGGCCCTCCAAATTACCAATAGATCATCCGTTATGCATGTTTTAAGTTTGGCCTCTTCTAGTTTGTTTGTGATATTTTCACTTGTCCATATATACTTTTGCAATATCTTCAATAGATCCGAAAATTTGATACATGACTGACATGATACGAGCATGACACGAATTTTCTGTATATAAGAATTTTAAATTTTTGTTTCCTGTTTTACATATATCAAACATGAATTTACATGTTTAAACATGTATAAAACATGAATTTAATTTGTATGACACGCAACACGTATAAACATTTATATAAATGTGACATGTGACATGTATACACACATTTAAACACGTGTAAACACAAATCAAATACATATGTTTCCTAGCTTAAAAATATTGGTATTAGACAATGTGTTAATAAATTCGTGTAAATATATGTTTTTGTGTAACACAATTAAAAATGTATTTAATCATATCGTGTCACGTACGACATAGATTAATTACGTGTCGTGTACATATTTAATATCTTAAACACTTTTTACAATTCTTATTGTTTAATTTGTGTCTAACATGATTCACAAACATGGATTGTGAGATCTAAAAACACTTTTTTACAATTCTTATAGTTTAATTTGTGTCTAACATGATTCAGAACATGGATTGTGAGATCTAAAAACACTTTTTTACAATTCTTAGTGTTTAATTTGTGTCTAACATGATCAGAAACATGGATTGTGAGATCTAATCTTCTATATACCCACATCAATAGTGGGGTGCCGTGTAAAGATTTGTTGTATTTATGTATGTATGTAAGTTTAGAGTGGAGAGTGTTTGCAAGTGTGTCCCACGAGTACAAAACCATTGGTTATACACTTTTTTTTATTAAATAATTAAAGTCTTCTATTTTAAGGATTTCTTGGTCGTCGTTGGGTGGGGAACCTTTCTGTGACATGTTTAGACCATCTTTGATCCACTTGATTTTTTATATCAAAATAGAATAAAAATAGTATGTAAATAGTATTTTGTCTTTATTTTATTTTTTGTATTATTGCTATTTTAAAAAATTATACTCTTAGTATATATATTTTTTTAACTTTCATTGATGGTTAAAAGCAATCCGTCTGTTAATTAGCTTTTTTAAAAAGTTAAGATGATATTTCTATTTATTTTTTCCTTTATCAAATTAAATGGATGTTTTAACTTTTATTTCTGCTATCATACTATCATGATTCTTTTCTTTAATTAAAATAAATGATATAAAAATTAAATTATCTTTTAAGTGTATGAATCAAACGTACAAATGAAAATATCACATTTCAATTAAAATATATATTTTATTTTTAATTACATTAAATTTATAAGTTATATTATCACAAAGTTCATAATAAAATAAATTATGCGTAGATAGTTTATTTGAATTAATTTTAATTTTATTAAAGCACGACTTATTAAATAAAACGTTTCAACACACTTTTAAATAAATATTACGTATATATATATATATATATATATATATATATATATATATATATATATATATATATATATATATATATATAAGTTTTCCATAAATAATCAACTATGTATGTCAAGGAAATATTATTAGAATTAACTATCTTAACATATCGGAAAAATATTATTAGAATTAACTATTTTAACATATCGTCATATCGGTCTCTATCGGTGATACATCTCTCACAACTTAATAAACATAAAATATGAAAATTATATAATATCATTTAATGTATAATATGATATATAAATATTAATTACTACATTTAAATTACAATTGTTTAAATTATAACCAGTAAACGTAAAATATATAAACGAAAAATACGAAGAAACTAGAATCAGCAACTAAAAAATTTATTCTATTTTGATGCAAATAAATAATTTACTCTATATTTGAAATAGTATTATTTATTTATATAAAATAGAGTATAAAATGAGACCATAAAGGAATAGAATACAAATAGGAAATAAAGTGAAATATTAGTTTTGGAGGTGTAGATGCTTTTTAACGCCCTTATCCATATGCCTTATTTCCATTTATAGAATATAAAGTAGATTTGTTATCTATATACTTATCTTGTGTTTTATATGCCTTTTTATGTGGATTCCAAAAGAATATAAGCATGTAATTCATTAAAACAATGTGTGGTTATTATTTGAATATTAACAATAACTAGTTGGGTCTTACATTTTCGTTTATATTAATAGAAGTTGTGGTGAATTTAGTTGTAACATCCGGACTTCCAAGTATATTATTTTTTATTTATTTATTTATTTATTTATCTCTTGAGCTACTCGACGAGTCGGTGCTCCAACTCGTCGAGTAGAGTCGCGATGTGCCACGTGGGTTTAATGATCTACTCGACGAGTCCGAGGAGTCGACTCGCCGAGTAGGCGTTGGGATGAGAAACCTTAAATCCCCAGGTTTGGGGCCTATTTAAAGGCACTTATAGCCTCATTTGCGGCTACACTTCCATGAGAGTAAACCCAAAACGGCCATTGAGCTTAGAGAGAGTGTGTTTTGCTAATTTTGAGTGTTTGGTGCATCCTGTGAAGAGAAGGGAAGAATTCCAAGCCAAGGGACAAGCAGGTGTTGCTAGATCCGAGGTTGTTTCACTTCAAAGCTTCTGGGAAAGGTATAAAGCTTGCACCTTTCTCATTATTTTGAATAGATCTCATGATTTTGGAAATCTAGGGTTTCTCCACCCAAATATGAGGACCTTGAGTGTTTTATGTTCATTAAGAGGGTTGAACTTTAGATCTGGACCATGTGAGGTCCCTAGAGTCC